TTGTGGGATGAGTTAGAGAGCAATCAGTGCGTTTTCAGTGAGGAGCGGAAGGTGACGGCTCAATGTGTCAATGTGGAGCGAAAAGTTTGTTCCAGTGAAGGGGGCGAGGGGAGAAGAAGAGCGAACGCGTGGCTGAGAGAGAGAGAGCGAAGATTGTAAAAGGCGACAAAGCAAGATAACCAGAGTAGCAAGGCGTGGTTGGGGCAAGACCGTGAAGGGATTTGCAGACCAGGTGATTGTCTGCGGTCTCTCCTTGCGATGATTCCACGCGCGAACACCAGGGGGAGATGACGGCCCGTGGGGGTGCGCAATGTCGATGATGAACACCAACAGAGTTGGAGCCGCTGCCCCAGAGATTTTGCCTGTGGCTCGGCTCGTCCAGGACCACTCACTGAAGCCCAACAATCTACTCAAATAAGCAGACACACGTGAAACACATATACAGTATCATTTTGCGCATCCAATCAGCAACACAGTGTTTATTCTCGCAGTGCAATACAGCATTTGCAGCAGCATTGGTTCGACATAAGCGAGCCTCTGTTACAGGTGTTGGCATGTAGTGTCTCATCAGCAGACTGAACCCGTGACTGCAGGTGAACTGCTGGGCGTGTATAGGTGAGGGTCTGTACAGGTGAGGGCGTGTGCAGGTGAGGGTCTGTACAGGTAAGGGTCTGTGCAGGTGAGGGTCTGCAGGTGAGGGTCTGCAGGTGAGGGTCTGTACAGGTGAGGGCGTGTGCAGGTGAGGGCGTGTGCAGGTGAGGGTCTGTGCAGGTGAGGGTCTGCGCAGGTGAGGGTCTGCAGGTGAGGGCGTGTGCAGGTGAGTGTCTGTGCAGGTGAGGGTCTGTGCAGGTGAGTGTCTGTACAGGTGAGGGTCTGTGCAGGTGAGGGTCTGTGCAGGTGAGGGTCTGTGCAAGTGAGGGTCTGCAGGTGAGGGCGTGTGCAGGTGAGTGTCTGTGCAGGTGAGGGACTGTGCAAGTGAGGGTCTGTGCAGGTGAGGGTCTGTGCAGGTGAGGGTCTGTGCAGGTGAGGGTCTGTGCAGGTGAGGGTCTGTGCAGGTGAGGGTCTGTGCAAGTGAGGGTCTGTGCATGTGAGGGTCTGTGCAAGTGAGGGTCTGTGCAGGTGAGGGTCTGTGCAAGTGAGGGTCTGTGCATGTGAGGGTCTGTGCAAGTGAGGGTCTGTGCAGGTGAGGGTCTGTGCATGTGAGGGTCTGTGCAGGTGAGGGTCTGTGCATGTGAGGGTCTGTGCAAGTGAGGGTCTGTACAAGTGAGGGTCTGTGCAGGTGAGGGTCTGTGCATGTGAGGGTCTGTGCAAGTGAGGGTCTGTGCAGGTGAGGGTCTGTGCAAGTGAGGGTCTGTGCAGGTGAGGGTCTGTGCATGTGAGGGTCTGTGCAAGTGAGGGTCTGTGCATGTGAGGGTCTGTGCAGGTGAGGGTCTGTGCAGGTGAGGGTCTGTGCAGGTGAGGGTCTGTGCAGGTGAGGGTCTGTGCATGTGAGGGTCTGTGCAAGTGAGGGTCTGTGCAGGTGAGGGTCTGTGCAAGTGAGGGTCTGTGCAGGTGAGGGTCTGTGCAGGTGAGGGTCTGTGCAGGTGAGGGTCTGTGCATGTGAGGGTCTGTGCAAGTGAGGGTCTGTGCAGGTGAGGGTCTGTGCAAGTGAGGGTCTGTGCAGGTGAGGGTCTGTGCAAGTGAGGGTCTGTGCAGGTGAGGGTCTGTGCAGGTGAGGGTCTGTGCAGGTGAGGGACTGTGCAAGTGAGGGTCTGTGCAAGTGAGGGTCTGTGCAGGTGAGGGTCTGTGCAGGTGAGGGTCTGTGCAGGTGAGGGTCTGTGCAGGTGAGGGACTGTGCAAGTGAGGGTCTGTGCAGGTGAGGGTCTGTGCAGGTGAGGGTCTGTGCAAGTGAGGGTCTGTGCAGGTGAGGGTCTGTGCAGGTGAGGGTCTGTGCAGGTGAGGGTCTGTGCATGTGAGGGTCTGTGCAGGTGAGGGTCTGTGCATGTGAGGGTCTGTGCAGGTGAGGGACTGTGCAGGTGAGGGTCTGTGCAGGTGAGGGTCTGTGCATGTGAGGGTCTGTGCAGGTGAGGGTCTGTGCATGTGAGGGTCTGTGCAGGTGAGGGACTGTGCATGTGAGGGTCTGTGCAGATGAGGGTCTGTGCAGGTGAGGGTCTGTGCAGGTGAGGGTCTGTGCATGTGAGGGTCTGTGCAGGTGAGGGTCTGTGCAGGTGAGGGTCTGTGCAGGTGAGGGACTGTGCAAGTGAGGGTCTGTGCAGGTGAGGGTCTGTGCAGGTGAGGGTCTGTGCAAGTGAGGGTCTGTGCAGGTGAGGGTCTGTGCAGGTGAGGGTCTGTACAGGTGAGGGTCTGTGCAAGTGAGGGTCTGTGCAGGTGAGGGACTGTGCAAGTGAGGGTCTGTGCATGTGAGGGTCTGTGCAGGTGAGGGTCTGTACAGGTGAGGGTCTGTGCAAGTGAGGGACTGTGCAGGTGAGGGTCTGTGCAGGTGAGGGTCTGTGCAGGTGAGGGTCTGTGCAGGTGAGGGTCTGTGCATGTGAGGGACTGTGCAGGTGAGGGTCTGTGCATGTGAGGGTCTGTGCATGTGAGGGACTGTGCAGGTGAGGGTCTGTGCAGGTGAGGGTCTGTGCAGGTGAGGGTCTGTGCAGGTGAGGGTCTGTGCATGTGAGGGTCTGTGCAGGTGAGGGTCTGTGCAGGTGAGGGTCTGTGCATGTGAGGGTCTGTGCAGGTGAGGGTCTGTGCAGGTGAGGGTCTGTGCATGTGAGGGTCTGTGCAGGTGAGGGTCTGTGCAGGTGAGGGTCTGTGCATGTGAGGGTCTGTGCAAGTGAGGGTCTGTGCAGGTGAGGGTCTGTGCAGGTGAGGGTCTGTGCATGTGAGGGTCTGTGCAGGTGAGGGTCTGTGCAGGTGAGGGTCTGTGCAGGTGAGGGTCTGTGCAGGTGAGGGACTGTGCATGTGAGGGTCTGTGCAGGTGAGGGTCTGTGCAGGTGAGGGTCTGTGCAGGTGAGGGTCTGTGCATGTGAGGGACTGTGCAGGTGAGGGTCTGTGCAGGTGAGGGTCTGTGCAGGTGAGGGTCTGTGCAGGTGAGGGTCTGTGCATGTGAGGGACTGTGCAGGTGAGTGTCTGTGAATGTGAGGGTCTGTGCAGGTGAGGGTCTGTGCAGGTGAGGGTCTGTGCATGTGAGGGACTGTGCAGGTGAGTATCTGTGCATGTGAGGGACTGTGCAGGTGAGTGTCTGTGCATGTGAGTGTCTGTGAATGTGAGGGTCTGTGCATGTGAGGGTCTGTGCAGGTGAAGGTCTGTGCATGTGAGGGACTGTGCAGGTGAGTGTCTGTGCATGTGAGTGTCTGTGAATGTGAGGGTCTGTGCAGGTGAGGGTCTGTGCATGTGAGGGACTGTGCAGGTGAGTGTCTGTGCATGTGAGGGACTGTGCAGGTGAGTGTCTGTGCATGTGAGTGTCTGTGAATGTGAGGGTCTGTGCATGTGAGGGTCTGTGCAGGTGAGGGTCTGTGCATGTGAGGGACTGTGCAGGTGAGTGTCTGTGAATGTGAGGGTCTGTGCAGGTGAGGGTCTGTGCAGGTGAGGGTCTGCAGGTGAGGGCGTGTACAGGTGAGTGTCTGTACATGTGTCTGTGCAGGTGAGGGTCTGTGCAGGTGAGGGTCTGCAGGTGAGGGCGTGTACATGTGAGTGTCTGCGCAGGTGAGGGTCTGCAGGTGAGGGTCTGCAGATAAGGGCGTGCTGCTCCTGCCTGCGAGACGCGAGCCCTGGTCCAACGCTCAACGAAGACCGCACTCGGAAGAAGATAAAGACCCCCCCACCGCAGTATAGCCTCAACAGCCTGTTGGGACAAGCGCTGCACCTGCGAAGGGCCGGCACGGCACACGAGGGAGTGGGGTGGCCAGCACCACACCCGACCGCCTTTGTCTCCCCCAGTGGCGATGTTTACACACCGCACCAGGTACTCGTTTGAGTCAACCTAAGGGGAGGCCCAGGACCGATTTTGATCATCGTCACCTGCGTTGGCCGGGTTCTCAGAAGGAGTCGCAGAGTCAGCACCGTGAGCCACGTGGCGGTGGGTGTGACTCAGCAGTACTTGGCCGCTGCTATAAATGTCCACGTGATGATGAGCCGCCACATCGTTGAGCTATCGTCTGTGGCCAGGTCGCGTCTTAATAAGTGCGCGTGTAGCTCAGTGGGCTTTAGCTGGTAAAATAAAATAAACATAGTTTAGATGTATTTGTATATTTAGTGATTTGCTTACCTTTCCTATACTTTGCACTCCTGTCGCGTTTTTCGTATTGTTTGTTGTTGTGACGCCCTGGGCCCCTACTGGACGTGTGTGAAAAATAGCTTCATAGCTCATCGGATTCCTCCAGTGTCAATAAATATTCCGCTTATGATTCTATCGTGTTTCGTATTTTTTGCTGTTGTAATGGTACGACCCCGCGCCCCCACTGAAGACATCTGTGAAAAAGAGCTTTATAGCTCATCAGATTCCTCCTGCAGCAGTCTAAATCAATAAAGATAATTATCATTCTAAATCCGCTGAGCACTTTGCATAAGTGGGCGGGCCCGTGCGCACACGTGGTCTGTGGGGTGGCTCCGGACTCCACCAGGGGCGTGGTCTCACTTGTGGTGGGGCGTGGTCTCACTAGTGGGCGTGGTCTAATTATAGCATGGGGGCGTGGTCTCACTTGTGGTGGGGCGTGGTCTCACTAGTGGGCGTGGTCTAATTATAGCATGGGGGCGTGGTCTCACTTGTGGTGGGGCGTGGTCTCACTTGTGGTGGGGCGTGGTCTCACTAGTGGGCGTGGTCTAATTATAGCATGGGGGCGTGGTCTCACTTGTGGTGGGGCGTGGTCTCTCTAGTGGGCGTGGTCTAATTATAGCATGGGGGTGTGGTTGTGTTAGTCGGGGCGGTGAACCTCGTTGTTCATTGGCTCTGCAGCCTATGGGCGGGGCTTAGCCCGCCGCATCATTAGCATATGTTAATGAGCTACCGGGCACCCCATGTGCGCCGAGAAGATGGCGGCGGAAGCGTGGTCTCTTGTTCTTTTTGTTGTTGTTTTTGGTTGTTGTGATGTTTGTTGTTATTGATGCGAGGGCAACGGCGGCGGCGGCAACGGCATCAACAATCTCGGGAACGGGCAGCAGTGCAAGGGCCAACAACAACTCGACAGAGCAGACTTGGTTGTTGTGGTGGTGGTTGTAGAGTGGTGGTTGTTGTTTCTCGGATTGTGCTCTAGAAAGTTTTGCCAGGAGGAGGAGGAAGAGGCGGGGAGCTGCTTGTGTCAGCTGTTGGACATTTAAACAGCCATTGCTGCATACACAACATCGCCAGCAGTTTGCGATCGGCAACAACCAGCAGCAGCAACAACAACCAGCAGCAGCAACAATCAGGGTGGTTGGGTAACCCCACGTCTACAACCTGAAGCCGGTGGTGGAGTGGCGCCGCGCGAGAAGACGAGGTTGCGGAGAGCAGAGGGGAGACGGAGCGAGCAAGAGCGAGTGAAGTTGACGATAGAAGGGAGAGGAGGGTTCAGAAAGTGGCGGAGAGAGAGAGAGAAGCTGTCAAGTTGTGAAGGGGGAGACGCGAGCGAGCGAGCGAGCACGGGGACGAGTGCGGAGAGAGGGTTGAGGCGGAGGGAGACCATCTCGGCTCATGCCGCCGCCGCCTCTTTGACGAAGACGGCCGCCCCAGGAGGGCAAGGGGAGTGAGGAGGGGCAGGGGATGGAGAGCAGCAGCAGCAGCAGCAGGCCGCCTGCCTGGCGCCGTCTCCTCGCCTCGCAGCGCTGCGCGACTCGCCTCGGCTGACCGAAGAAGACGCGGCGGCGGCGGTGGTGGTCGGCGGCTTTGGGAGACTCCTCGACAAGAGACGCCTCGAACTTCACTCGCGAGTTCTTGCGCGCCCTTACACCCTCGTCACTATCATCCTCATCATCTACCTCGTCATATTTGTTGACTTGTTAGTTTCCTCTCGGTTCTTCCGTCAACCTACTCGGCCATTAACAATACCACCACCGCCGCCTCGTCACCATCATCGTCTCGGCGTTGTCTCAGGAGTTTTAGTTTAAAAGCCAAGCGGCCAGCAACAAAGAGCACTCTCTCGGTAGCTGAGGGGAGGAACCACGGCGGAGACACGAAGATGAGCAAGGAACGGCCCAAGAGGCACATCAGCAAGAAAAGACTGGTGAGTGAGCGGGTGAGTAGATGGGTGGGTGAGTGAGCGGGTGAGTAGGTGGGTGAGTGAGCGGGTGAGTAGGTGGGTGAGTAGGTGGGTGAGTGAGCGGGTGAGTAGATGGGTGGGTGAGTGAGCGGGTGAGTAGATGGGTGGGTGAGCGGGTGAGTGAACGGTGAGCGGGCGGGAGAGTGGATGGGTGAGTGAGTGGGTGAATGGGGGTGGAGGTGGGTTGAGGGTGAGTGAGAGGGTGACGAAGGAGTGAAGGAGGAGGTTGTCTAAGTGTGGCTTGATGGGACTGGTGGTGGTTGATGGCGAGTGGCGATGGGGCCTGATGAGAGTTGACGGGACAAAGTTGCTGCTGCTGCTGATGACGGTGGTCGTGATGATGGTGGTGGAAGTTGCAGGGACTTTTGGTGGGAGTTGGTGGTTAATATTGATGCTTGTTGATACTTGAGTATGGTAGATGTTGCTTGTTGATCTGTAATGATGGTCGTGTGATACATTATTTGTTCTTGGTACCTTGCCTATTGATGTTTGTCGTAATGTGGCCGACTAACGTTGATGGTGCAGGTTGATGTTGCTGCTGGTTGCGGCACAGTGCTGTGCTGGCAGAGCTGTCCTTGATATCGCTTGGTATTGTTGATGGTGGTTGATGTTGCCGATGATGACGATGATGTGGACGGAGGATGGGAGTTGAGTCCGCGAGACAAAAGGGCCACGCGTCCCCGGTAAAATGCCTCCGCCATCACCGCGGTGTTTAAAGGGCACGCGGTTTTCGGGGAATGCGGTTTAGAAGGCTGGGAGCTCTAAATTGCTGGGACTTCTGAAGGGCTCGGAGTTTGAACGGGCGGGTTGGGAGTTTAATGCAATGGCTGGGAGTTTAAAGGGCAGGCACATTGCAGAGTAATGAATTAAGGTCACCCACGTATGATTGTGTCCACGCTTCCTCCTGCTCCCCGTGGTTGGTGGTTGATCCAGCGGGTAGCAGGCGCCATTGAGTGCGGCGTCGATGTTGTCGCTGCTATCTCAGTGGGGCAGTAGCCAGGAGCTCCTGGGCTCGGTTCATTCTCTTCCCTTCGGCATGGGGTTCCTCCGGGTTCTCCATTTTCCTGTCACAGCTAAACTGGCGTACACAGTGGACCCGATATTGGCCAAACTCACATGCTAATGCTGTTTATAAATTCCCTGCAAATTACTCAATTGTGGATCACACAGTGATGTAACCACGGGGAGAGAGACATGCAAACTCTACATGTACTGTACAGGCGTCAGCGTCGGGATCGAACCCACGACCTCGGGCGAGGGAGTTAACATCTCGCTACCACAGCGCAGAGGCCGCAGCAATACCGCTCCCCTATCGCGGAAACCTGGTAGGACCCTCCTGGCAAGGGGTCTTGAGACTCCATGAGGCTTCCCTGAGTTGACCAGAGGCAGTGATCACAGTAATAATAAGTTGCATCACCACCATGGACGATACAATGAGGGGTTTTTTTTGTTACCCTCTTGGCTGGTGGAGAAATGTTTCCCTGCTGTGTGACTCCACCACGTGGCCCTGCCGCATCAGCTGGGATTCTTGGAGAGTCTGGAATGCGTGGGAGTTTATTTTATTTTTTTGGGGGGGGTCTCTTTAAACTTTTTTTTCATAGTTTCCTGGAACGATTCTGAAAGAAATTCCGGCGCACATTTCAGAAAATTATTCCCAAGTCCGGTGCCTTCGCCCGCCCGCCACTCGTGACGTTTCCACGCTAGGCAGGAGCACTTTAACTAACTATAAACGTTTTTTTACCAGGTCAGGCCCACTGACCTACATAGCTCTTTTTTTTAATAAACGACCTGGCCTTAAATGGATACTCCACAAAGTGGCTTCTCGTGTGGAAATGTATAGCAGCCAAATCCTCTAATCGCGTGATGTTGATTCTAAATGTGGAGGGAAACATTGGAGGACCCAGAGAAAAATGCACGCGACCACGGAGAGAACATACAAACTCTAAATATACAGGTGTCAGGGTCGGGATCGAACCCAAGACCTTCCTACATACCAAGCGAAGTAGTTCACATCTCGCCACCATGGCGCCAATGCTCGGGTGTTGAACTTTGGCTGCTTCATCAGAATGATACTACCATCTTGGCTGATGGAATGTGTACAATTAAATCTTTTTTTAGGTTTTGTTTTATGTGGAGAGACAAGTATGGGAAGGGTGCGTGCTTGTCAACGTAACTGTGATGTTTTCACGATGGTCGTTAGTGGAAACAAATCGAGAACGCATTGAAAGTGCGCACAGGAAAACACACGCTGAGAGACAGGAAGAAGAGTACGTGGATTAAAGAACACGCGCAGCAGGGGAGGGACATCACCATCATCAAACTCCAAACTATAAACTTTTTATTCTACCAGGTAAGGCCCACTGAGTTTTGTAGCTCTTTTTCAGAAACGACCTGGCCACAAATGATAGCTCAACAAAAATTGGGTTATCCTGTGGAAATTTATAGCAGCCAAATCTTAAAAGCATGTTGATTATAAATGTGGAGGGAAAAACCGGATGACCTGGAGAAAAATCCACATGACCACGGGGAGACAGACATGCAAACTCCGATATACAGGCCTCAGGGTTGAGATCAAACCCACGACCAGGCGAGTTGGTTAACATCACACCATCGTTGTACCTTCATGCAGCAGTTGATAGACCAAGATCATCATCCTCCAGACTGGTGAGTGGGGCTGGGGTGTAGGACACGTCACGGCCGGAAGGGACGATGATGGGCTATGGTCGAGACTGATCACGGATCCGCAGCCGTCCGAGAGAATTATAATAATATAATAAACTCAGTTTTTTAAAACGCCTTTTAATGCGCCTTTCAAGTGGGTAATCTCACAATGCCGGTAATTGATTTGGTAGTTGATTAGGGAGGAGCAGATGATCCGGGGAGGAGATGGAGTGGGGATGAAATCTCCTCGTCGTGCGTAGAGCAGCAGCTGCTGGGTTGACCGTTGTCGTGAGAGGGTGGTGGCTGCTCTGGGAGGAAGCGGCAGGCCTTGGTGCAGCAGTGGATAGACCATGGATCACGCCAGGCAGTGCTGTGTAGTCACGAGCTGCCCGGACACAATACCCGAAACATCTGCTGCTAGCTACGTGACTCCCTTCCTCGACTTTGTTATCTGCTGGCATCTGGTTTTAAATGCTCAGCCCCGAAGGCAAATATTAGGGGGGTGGGGGAGGCTGGGTGGGGGGTCGATAGAGTAAATATAACCCACAGCACAACCACACGCAGAACAGACGATGACTCCAGTCGCCTTCTTATCACTCTTCTGTCACTGCTACTCCTACGACGAGCGTGGTTCCTGTGAAATTCACTCGTTGATTCCTCCACCCATGTTGAGGACTCGGTCTGCCAGACTGTTTCATCTCGCGCAAAGGTGGCTCGTGCTGCCTGCAAACGCCCCTGGGGAAAGTGCTGTTAGCCGGCAGCTAGGAATGCCCACGGCATGGCAGGAGCTAAAGGGGGTGGGTGGTGTAGGTGGTGTGGCCGGCACCACGCCCGGCTGTCTTTGTCTCGCCACTGCTGATGTTTACACGCGCAGCAGTAGGTCATAATTTAAGGCTAAGTTTGGCGCTAGCAGAGAGGCCCGCAACTGATTCATATATTCGTCACTGGTGTTGTTGGTCTTGGCCGGGAGTCAAACTTGGGTCGCTGGGTTTGTAGTGTGGTGTAGTAACCACTGCTTCTCACACGCACAGTCACACACACACAATCCGCCAGTTGCACACACACACTCACAACTTCAGTCACACTCACGCAGTCTCTCTCACAGTCCCACATACAAGGACAAAAAAGATCCCCCGTATAGTTTTAACACTGTTGGGGCAAGTGCTATTAGGAGCACCTATACATGGCACACACGCAGGGGGATAGTGACCAGCACCACGCTCGGCTGCATTTATCTCCCGATTGGCGATGTTTATGCATCGCACTAGATACTCAATTGAGGCTGAGTCGACGTAGGGGAGGTTCAGGACCATTTCAGATCATCGTCACTGGTGTTGGCCATGAGCAGGAATTGAGCTCCGGTACCTAGGTCCGTAGCGCAGCGCGCTATTCACTACACTGCTTCCCATTCAGACACACAATAATACACACACGCGCGCGAGACATGCGTACACACGCGCATGCGACATTCGCACACAGGCGTGTGCGACACTCGTACACACGCGTGTGCATCCCAGCTCATATTCTGTGGGTTAAACAGCTAGCCGATATGTAGAATAAGCAGCTGGCAGAGACGTGGGTTAAACAGCTGGCAGAGACGTGGGTTAAACAGCTGGCAGAGACGTGGGTTAAACAGCTGGCAGAGACCTGGGTTAAACAGCTGGCAGAGACGTGGGTTAAACAGCTGGCAGAGACGTGGGTTAAACAGCTAGCAGAGACGTGGGTTAAACAGCTGGCAGAGACGTGGGTTAAACGGCTGGCAGAGACGTGGGTTAAACGGCTGGCAGAGACGTGGGTTAAACGGCTGGCAGAGACGTGGGTTAAACAGCTGGCAGAGACGTGGGTTAAACAGCTGGCAGAGACGTGGGTTAAACAGGTGGCAGAGACGTGGGTTAAACAGGTGGCAGAGACGTGGGTTAAACAGGTGGCAGAGACGTGGGTTAAACAGGTGGTAGAGACGTGGGTTAAACAGTTGGCAGAGACGTGGGTTAAACAGCTGGCAGAGACGTGGGTTAAACAGCTGGCAGAGACGTGGGTTAAACAGGTGGCAGAGACGTGGGTTAAACAGGTGGCAGAGACGTGGGTTAAACAGCTGGCAGAGACGTGGGTTAAACAGCTGGCAGAGACGTGGGTTAAACAGGTGGCAGAGACGTGGGTTAAACAGCTGGCAGAGACGTGGGTTAAACAGCTGGCAGAGACGTGGGTTAAACAGGTGGCAGAGACGTGGGTTAAACAGCTGGCAGAGACGTGGGTTAAACGGCTGGCAGAGACGTGGGTTAAACAGGTGGCAGAGACGTGGGTTAAACGGCTGGCAG